GCTTTGTTGGCAAGTTTATAGCAAAAAGGATGGATCGATGGAAGAGTCTGTAATGCCTTAACTGTTAGCCGAGAAACACAACCACACAGGAAGATTTAATGTCATCAGCTGCTCTCCCCAAACCCCCACTTTTCAATCGTTTCTGGCAGCTCTCTGCAGACCCATGTTTAAAAATATTAATGTTCAAAAACAATAACAAGAGGTTGAGCTTGGGCAGGTAATGACTGAAATAAAAGGAACACAACGTGATCCTCAAAGGGACAAAATCCGGCAACTGCTTTCCCTTGTGGGATTTCTGCAAGGAGTGGATTCATGCCTCATTACAGGCAGCTGTTTTTGTCAATGGGTCCCAGTGGGAACGCTCTGGAGCTAAAATGGGGAAGGGGGAAGATGCAAGATGAAGAGGAATGAGAAGGCAAGTAATCAGATGACTGGCTGGGGTGTTGCAGAAGAGGCATTTATGCGGGAGAGCATGAAGTAGCTTCAGATCCTCTTTCTACTTCCACTCTTCCTTCTTAACTACTTTGCTTCTATAAATTTTGCATGACAGTTCCATATAACTCGTCTCAGCTGCACATGCAAAATGGATGAGTGGGCGGAGGAGAAAGTCCTGGCTCAGTGGCAGAGGTCTACTTGGCACACAGAAGGCCTCTGGTTCCATCCCCAGCATCTTCAGTTGGAAAAAAAATCGTAGGAGGTGATGTGAAAGACCACTGCCTGAAACTCGGGACAGCTGCTGCCAGTTGTATGTAACAGAAGTATAACAACATAAGAGAAGCCGTGTTGGATCAGGCCAATGGCCCACCCAGTCCAACACTCTGTGTCACACAGTGCCCCAAATCCAGGTGCCATCAGGAGGTCCAGCAGTGGGGCCAGAATTCCAGAACCCACCCACTATTGTCCCCCAAGCACCAAGAATACACAACATCACTGCCCCAGACAGAGCGTTCCATCTATACCTTGTGGCTAATAGTCACAGATGGACCTCCACTCCATCCATATGTTTATCCAGTCCCCTGTTGAAGCTGTCTAAGTTTGTAGTGGCCACTACTTCCTGCAGCAGTGAATTCCATGTCTTAATTACTCTTTGGGTGAAGAAGTACTTCCTTTTTTCTGTTCTATATAATAGCATCTTTGATACAACGTGTGTTCAAGCTGTCCTATTAGAAATTTTGAAGTCATGGGGTGGAGAGGAACAGAAGATTTGGAAGAAATGGAAATATGTGCAATACCTACTATGTTATCAAACCTAAATTTAATACACAGCTTTAAGAATGTAACAGAACAGGAGGGGCTGTGGCTCAGTGGTAGAGCATCTAGCTTGGCATGCAGAAGGTCCCAGGTTCAATCCCCGGCATCTCCGGCTAAAAGGATCATGAAGGAGCCGATGTGCACAAACCACTGGAGAGCCACTGCTGGTCTGAGCAAATGAAACTGGCTTTCATTAATCAAGGGTCTGATTCAGTACAGGCAGATTTATGTGCTCACGATGCACAGTTAACAACAGCATATAGAACTGTACTGTTTAGCATATTTGTGGAATTAAAAATATAAGAACCTTAATTTTCCACAATACTGCAAATATTCCCAATTATCAAAAAGAGGCGGAGCTATTACCTGCTACACCCTCAGCCACCGTAGGTTTTTTCCTCCACTTGAGAAGGGTCTGTGTCCTCCATTCCTACCCACTTCTACACTGCTTGGCTTGCCACTGCAAGCCCTCCCCCCCGGTTGCATTTAGACATAATATGGGATTCCTGGCAGCCTTCAACCCCCTCTTCTTTAAAAGGCTTCCCCCTTTCCTTTTTCCCAGCACTGCTGTATCACTGCAGCATGGCTAGGCACAGGAACTTTTAAAAAGGCCTTTAAGTGGCTGGGGGGGGGGCATGTGGACCTTAGCTCTGTCCCCCCTACACCCCATGATGACTACAGAGGAGTGCCCGGATAGAGGCATACAGTCCTGGTCACTGATATCTCCAAAAGGACATTGCAGAGCTGGGAACAGTACAGAGGAGGGCAACCAAGTTGATTGGGGGGTTGGAGGACCTTCCCTACAGGGGAAGCCTGAAGAGTCTGGGAGTTTTCAGTTTAGAAAAGAGACGACTAAGGGGGGACATGATCAATCTTCCCTCTAAGCTGTGGAGTCTTGTGAGCAAAAATTCTACTTTGTGAGCTACTGGCATTAAAGTTGTGAGTGAGCGATTTGCCTGCTGCATAAATTAGCTTGCTCTGGAGCCATGTTTCCTGAGCTAAGACAAAAATGTTTGAGCCAGAGGCTAAAAAACTGTGAGCTAGCTCACACTAACTCAGCTTAGAGGGAACAGTGGACATGATAGAGGTTTACAAAATTATGCATGGGAGTGGAGAGAGTCGACAAAGGGAAACTCTTCTCCCTCTCCCGACTGCTAGGACTCGAGGGCATCCAATGAAACTGAGGGGCAGTAGGTTCAAAACAGACAAAAGGAAATGCTACTTTACACAGAAAGTGATTAAAATGTGGAATTCGCTGCCAGAGGATGTAGTGATGGTCACAGGAATAACCATCTTAAAAGGGGATTAGATAGATTCATGGAGGATGAGTCTATCAGTGGCTACTAGCCGTGGTGACTGAGGGGAACCTCCACATTCAGAGGCACTGATCGTCTGAATCTCAGGGCCAGGAAGGAACATGAAAGGAAGGCCTCGGCCTCTGTGCCCTGCTGTTGGCCCTCCAGAGGAATTGGTTGGCCACTGTGTGAGACAGGAGGCTGGACTAGATGGACCAGCAGGGCTCTTCTGATGTTCTTATGCTTCACCCACAGGTACCTTGCAGTCTCCTTGCACTTCAGATCTATTTATTTTCTCCAGAGTAAAAAAAAAAGGGGGGGGGGGGACAAAGCAGGAACCAGATGAGTTGTGCCCAGATGGGGCATGACACCATCTGGATGTTGCCTTTTTCTACTGGGACTTCCTGCTCTCCATGCAGAGGGGAAAATAATCTCTTTGCAGAAGCATCCCTATGTATGTATAACCATTAACCAACTTTGCAGCACGCACATTTTAAAAGCACTACTCCCTAGCATCTGAAACATACATCTTCCCATGTCTATTTATCTAAAAGCTACAATAGATTCCGTGACGGGAAAAAACTATTTCCGCGAGAGGGAGCATTTCTGCAGATCTACAGACAGACGCTGCCCTGACCCGGATAGCGCAGACTAGCCCGATCTTCTCAGATCCTGGAAGCTAAGCAGGGTTGGCCCTGGTTGCTATTTCGATGGGAGATCTCAAAGGAATATGGGGGTCACCATAAGTCAGCTGTGACTTGATGGCGCTTTCCACCACCACCAGAGAAAGATGCTGGTGTTCTGGTCCAGCACACCCCACCACACGGGCTGACACAGGAAACCGCCTTACACCAATTGGTCCATCTGCCTCATTATTCCCTTCTAATCGGCAGCCACTCCACAAATCTCCCGGAGGGGCTTCCCCTCTGGTGCCTACCACTAGAGACCTGTTAGCGGGAGATCAGATCTGAAATGATAGGCATGCAAGGCAGGCACTCCACAATTCCATGTGCACTCCTATACCTACAAAAGATGAGACCTGTCATTCACAGTTTCAGAACTGGCAATCCAGAGCAATGCTTCCTCTAAACTGCGGAGTCTTGTGAGCAGAAATTCTACTTTGTGAGCGACTGGCCTTAAAGTTGTCAGCGAGCCATTTGGCCACTGCACAAATCAGTTTGCTCCGGAGCCGTCCTTCCTGAGCGAAGGCAAAAATGTGTGAGCTGGAGGCTAAAAGACTGTGAGCTGGCTCACACTAACTCAGCCTAGAGGGAACACTGATCCAGAGGTCTGTGGGGTAAAACAGTATGTATCTTTCTTCAGCAGCTTAAATCCCATATGGGATCTATTAATTTACTTACTTACTTCATTTGGACCTTTTCATTTGGACCGCTTTCTCCCCAGAGGGGACCCAAGGTGTCTTACATCATTTTCCTCTCTTCCATTTTATCCTCACAACAACCCTGTGAGGTAGGTTATGCTGAGAGTGTGACTTGCCCCAGGTCACCCAGTGAGCATCCATGGCACTTGTGGGTCCTCGAATCTGGGTGTGACGTCCTCCTTATTGGAGAGACTGTTTTTCCTTTAAAACACACTATGTTCGCATAAACCTGGTAGATTACTGCTGCCACCAGGAATTAAAAATTCCAAATCTCTCTATTATGGTAGAATGACCCTTTTTCTGGGCACTTCAGAGGACTCTGTGGCCCTGAGGAAGGACTGTTCTGACTGTTGGGATATGTTTAAACAAATAATGATTTATTTATAAAATAATAAAATAGGTTTCTGGGTATTTTGAACTGTTGTTGAAGAAAGGAAGTTATAAATATTACGGATAAAGTTGGTCGTCACACACTGCCTCTCAAAACACCAAAACTCAACTTTGACAGCCTTAGCCACTCAGGCTAAACTCTTCCTCTCTTAGCCACACAGGCTAAACCGTTTGTCTTAGCCACATAGGATAGACTCAAACTGCTTCTTCTGCCATACAGACTAAAAACTCAAAACTCTCCACACTCATCTCTTTCAAACCCAGAATCTCCTCCCACTCTCTCAGTCATCAGCCAATTACATCACACTCATCTCCGTCTCTCACTCTCCTTACATTACTGCAGTCAAACTAAACATTTAAAGAGACATACACACCAAAACATGAAATCATTACACTTGGTTTCCAAAATACTAGTCCGATAGTCTTAACCACTACATCACACTGGCTCTCTTCTCCGCTGTGGCTCCCATTTATGGGAATGTTACCACCATACGGGTGATCCCCCCCCCCCGGCTTAAAGACAATGTAAGCATGAACACATGCGTAAGCATTCCACTACTTTAAGTCATTCATATTTAGGAACACTGCCATTGTGTACCTCCTAACCACAAAGCTGTTCAACAATGAAGACAAAAATCAAAACCGACACCCTGCTTACTTTCTCATTCATACAATCTACTCACTCAATGGAGACGACCACGGCATCCAGAGACTTGGCCATTACCGAGCAGAGATTGTTATAAAAGCTTCCTCCTGGAATTAGAAGAAGACCCACGGACAGTGAGTGAGAAAGAAGCCGGCATGTTTTAAAGACGCATGATGCATAGAGTCAGTGGTGGTGGTGGGGAGGCTCAAGAAGAGTCGGGTTTTTTTATACCCTGCTTTTCTCTACCCTAAGGAGTCTCAAAGCAGCTTACAATCTCCTTCCCTTCCTCTCCCCGCAACAGACATCCTGTGAGGTAGGTGGGGCTGAGACAGCTATGAGAGAACTGTGACTGGCCCAAGGTCACCCAATTGGCTTCATGTGGAGGAGTGGGGAATCAAACCTGTTCTCCAGATTAGAGTCTGCCGCTCTTAACCACTACACCACGCTTGCTCTCAGCCATAAGAACACAAGACGAGCCCTGCTGGATCGGACCAGTAGTCTATCTAGGCAAGCATTAGGTCTCACACACTGGCCTGCCAGTTCCTCTGGAGGTCCAACAACGCTTTCTCCTGATGTTGCCTCCTGGCACTGGGATTCAGAGCTTTACGGCCGCTGAACATGGAGATTCCTTCCCTTTAATCACTATGGCTCATACCTATCTGCAATGAATCTGTCTAATCCCCTTTAAAGCTGTCTAAGGCTGTGGCCATTACATCATCCTCTGGCTGCAGATTCCACATTTTAATCACTCGTTGTGTAAAGAAGTCCCCTCTCAATCCCCAAATTCATGCCACAGCCCTCACATATATGAGAATCTAAATTTCAGCAGGGAAGTTCTGGGGTACATCTGCTCAACAGGACCTGCAGCCTGCAGAAGTGACCCCATAAACAGTCTAACAGGAGAGCCAGTTTGGTGTAGTAGTTAAGAGCATGTTCTCTAATCTGGGAGAACCAGGTTTGATTCCCCACTCCTCCACATGCAGCTGCTGGTGTGACCTTGGGTCAGTCACAAGTTCTCTTAGAGATATTCTCTCAAGAGCAGTCCTCAAAAGGGCTCTCTCAGCCCCACCCACCTCACAGGGTGTCTGTTGTGGGGAGGGGAAGGGAAAGGCTATTGTAAGCCGCTCTGAGACTCCGAGTGAAGGGCGGGGTATAAATCCAGTCTCCTCTTCTTCTACTTTGATCCTCAAAACAAAGGATGGCTGAGAGGATAAAATGGAGGGTGGTAGGCAGGGGTCATTTCCTTCAGGAGCACACAGGAGTGGAGCTCCGGCAGTAAACAGCCCAGGGGGCGGGCACATGCAACAAGCCCCACCCCCTGCTCCCAGCAGCCCGCAGTCAGAGCAAGAAGCAGCCAGGTAAGTTGCAGAGCCCCACCCCCGGTCCAAAACAGTCCAGTGGCACCTTTAAGACCAAGTTTTATTCAGGTGCAAGCTCTCCCTCCTCTGCGAGGACAGATCTGCATGTCCCCCCC